AGATTATGCAAATTGAAAATGTTACCAGCGTTAATGGCAGTGTATGTTTGAATAGCACCTGCACCTCTATTGGCCTTTCCATATGGTGAGGGTATCTCCCTTCCCAATCACTGACCACCTGCAATATCCAAAGTACCCATTAGACCATAACACATTCGACAAAGAAACTAAGATCTATTTGTTGACACAGAAAAATGGTTTGACACTTTTCTGATGTTGGGCCTTCGATATGCTCTGGGCCTCGGTAGAGCACGTGATCTGCAAGATAACAAATGCTCGGTAAGACCTAGGGCACCGGTGTGGTACCGACCGAAGGCTCTCCGATGCTTAAGTAAGTACGAATTTAGTAAAGTTGAACTACAGATCAATAGGCTGTATGCCGTAAGTTTTGATTACCTCCATTTTGGGGAATTGTGCTTCTTTTATAGATCTTGGGAGGTGTGCAAGTTGTGTAAAATTTTGATGTGGGACTGTAGACATTGATTGTGAGCTTGCCACGTGTCCTAGAGGAGGAGGTTGCCCTAGTCTTTGGATCGGTAGGCTGGGTGCCGAAGCAAGGTGCCGAAGGCTACCATAGACCCGATCTTGTCCACGGGTCTGATTCTCATTGGCTGTTCATTTTGGTATAAACAGGAGTCCCCCAAGTTCTCTTTCGAGAGTTCTCGGAAGGGGATTTGATATTCTCTTCGGCAGGGAAATGCTATCCTACCGTTCGGTAACTCGGTGGATGGAGGGGCTCAATCTTGGCACTTCCGTGCGTTCCCGTCCAAAAACTGACGTCGGGGGAGTCAGAAGGTCGCGTTGAGTTGATGTGTGATGGGATTGGAGGGCACTTCGTCTTCCGTGCCCCGCGTGCTCTCAGGTCATCCACAGGATGAATGACACGTGGCGTGTGCACTCATTAGGTGTGGCGTATTAATGCGCCATTTGGTTTTTCGAGGAGTACCGTTGCGAACCCTCACCCTATAAATAGGGGTGACTTCGGAAGAGAGGATCACTTTGCATTTGTGAGAGAAGCGAGAGCTCTGTTGATGCGATTTCCGACGAGAGCTAACGGCAATCAAGGCGATTTCCGGCGTAGCGAACGGTAATCGGAGGTACCGTTCGGCACTCTCATTTAACTCTCTCATTTAATATTGTTGTTCGTCGTACGTCGTACGTCCTTCCGTTCGGTAGTCTAGTTGCCATAGGTAGTTGTGGGAACCAATTAAATCAAAACCCTAGGTTAAATAATTCCTTCCATTTGGGGATTATTTGACCTAATTGGGAATTACTCAACCTAATTGGGAGTTACTCAATTTAATTGGGAGTTACCCAATTAAATTGAGAATTACCTAATTAAGTTGGGAATTGATTTGATTCCTACCCCAATTCCCAATTAAATGAGGAGTTACCTAATTAAATTAGGATTTGATCTGATACCTACCACGATTAGGGATTTGATTTACCCTAATAAATCAAATCCCTAATTAATCAAATCAATTCCAAATAGGGGAGGAATAATTCCCTTCCATCTATGGAATTATTCCTCTGAAACCCTAATCTCCGAGACCATTATAAATACTTGGCTACGCACAAAGGTCAAGGTACGTCTAAATTCCTACTGAAACTCTGCAGAAATTATTTCTCACAAACCCTAGCCACCACTTTCTTTCTCTCTCTGACACAAGGCTCCGGCCACTACACACGGCTCCGGCCACCCGGTTTTCCTTAAAATACCCTACCTAACTTAGGCATCGGAGGGCCTTTGGCCAACACCCCCCGGGTGTGGTCCTTTTACCCCGATTTGTTTTGCAGGGAGAAAGAGAAGTGGAGAAGACGAAGGAATTTTAGACGAATATTCTAGTGGGACGAAATTTTCTCCCACAGTAGTGATGTAGGGATTGGTAGCCTAGTCTTCTGCATGGCGCTTAGTTTCATTTTTCCTGTTTTGTAGATTCCAATAGCGATTCACTGTTCGAGAGTGAGCCCAATGCTTTCTAGGGGGAGTCATCGGACGGTCTGTTCGATTCAGATAGTGAGGTCGTAGGCCCTATTGCCGAGGATGGAGAAGATACCGATGTTGAGATACTCGGTGAAGGCCAGAGCTTCGTTCCTACTCACGACATCGGGAAGGGGCTCATGACTCAGCAGCCCACGCCGTTGGCTGTGGTCTATCGTGACGGTAGGCATTTCGGCTTAGATCAGCACTGTGAGTCCAGCGCTGTTCAGTAGCCGGATGCCTCCACATCTGGTCGTGGGGAAGCAGCTAATGAACCGTCTTCCCGTCCGAGGGTATCGGTAGTCTTCCCAACAACCCTAGGGTACCGATAGGAGTACCGAAGGAGCACCTGTTCGGTGTAGAGTACTTAGAGCCAAATAAGATCACCGAACGGGAGATAGCCAAATATTGTGCTGAATACCTTATCTCGAATTCGGTAAGGATGAGGATCCCGACGCCTACCGAATCCCTCAGCAAGCTGAAGGATGGTGAGGTCGTCTTCTTCACCGATGTGCTTCTTCAAGGAGTTCGGTTGCCTTTGCAATCGGAAGTGCAGAGAATATTGGGGCAGATTGGCTATGCGCTGGTCAATACAACCCTAAATTATGGGTAGCGCTGATGGGGGTGGTCACTGCGTTCGGCATGGCCGATGAAGGGGAGCCTTCCTATGAGCAGTTCTCTTACCTGTATAGCATGATGAAGTCCAAGTCTGTCGGTCATGAAGGATGGGTTCAGGCTAACTGCCTGAAGGCATCTGAACGGGGGCACTTCGTCAGTGCCGTGCCGACTTCCTAGAAGTCGTGCAGGAATCGGCGGGTGCTTTTGTTTGGTGATTGGGGATCGCCATCGGGACAGCCCGTCCTGTTCCACGTTCCCACCACCTTCCAAATAGCTGATGGCCAACGTATCGTTCGGTAGATCAATAGTAGTGTTTAGTTTGAGAAATCTAATCCCGTTTTGTTCCTTATGCAGGCAAGTTGAAGCAGCCGAGCCCTACCCAGTCAGAGATTTGGCAGATTGACAGGGTGAGGCTGAAGGTCCCTGCCGTCGAGAGGGTGTACCCCCAATTCCTTTTCACCGCAAACTTGATCAAAGCTCTGCTCGTCAGCCCTGTCGAGAGTAAGTGCGCTTTGCTTCCTGAATATTAAGATACATCGTGTTGATGCCTTACCGACCTCCGTGTTGTGCAGTGACGGAAGAGAGGAAGAAGGCCGAAGCCAAAAGGATGAACGAGTCCTCTAAGAGGCGCTTCATGATGGGCCTCCAATAGAAGAGAAAGAATCGACAGTCCGAGGTGCCACTTGTGCAGATGGTGGACGCCGATCTCGAGGAGCAGATGCTTGCCGAGCGGCTGCAGCAGCTGAATGGTGAGTCTGCATAGAAGAAGACTGTCGGGGCTGACCCTCCACTGAAGCGTGGGCAGCCTACCGAGGATGCGGCATCCAAGGCAGCAGGGAAGAGGCCATTCACGGTGGACCTTGACGCTGAGCCCGTGTCTAAGCGCGGTCGACAATTTGAGATTCCGAAGGCTATCTTCTCAGTCGAGGATGACGAGGGCCTTGCAGAGCCTATCAACATTGCTTGCCCTTCGAAGACAGTTCAGTTTGCGAACCATATGATCCTGGGTTCACAAATGGAATTGTCGGAGATCGAGATGCTGCCGAAGAAGATCCTTCGGGAAGAAGTCGGAAGCGCCTTCCGTCTCCAGGCTTCGGTAACATTCTTGATCCTTATATTCGTTACTACTGTTTGCCCGTATACTTGTGCTGAATTTCTGCTTTGTCTTCCAGGCGTCGATGGACATGTGGCTTTGCATGAAGAAGGCCATCACCGTTGCCGAACGTGCAAAAAAGGCTTATGAGGACGGCCGTGCTAAGGTTGCCGAGGCAGGCAAGGTGCTTCAGGACCATGCTTATCTTCTGCATGACAAGCAGGCTACCGAACGGCAGGTTAAGGCTTCAGAGCCCAAATTGGCGGAGATAAGGGCGGCTCTGGAGGCCGCAGTGTAGGCAGGGAAGGATGCCGAGGCAGCGAAAGAGGCCGTGCAGGTGGTGTTAGAGGAGTCTGAGTGGGCTAAAGCGGTAGAGATCGATGCTACTGTCCAAGAGGCGATCAAAAGCTATCGTTTGTCGACCGAGTTTTCCATTTTGCTGTATAAAGAGGTAGGTTCAGAGATGGCGGATCTGATCTACAGGTTTAAGCGATACAACCCTAGATAGAAGTTGAATTTGAACTTTATCGCCGATACTCCTCCCCTTCCGGTAGGTATTACCGAAGAAATGATCGAAGATTACAAAGGGGAGGATGCTGCTGATGCGGAGGAGGCCACTGCCGATGCAGATCAGGCTGTTGCCGGTGCCGCGGACGAGCTGGCTGCTACTTGAACTTTGTTCGTAGTTTTTGTAATTTATCTCTTTTATTTTGTACCTGCCATAAGGCAGTTCTTTCGAACACCTTGATGCCGATGACATCTTTTTATTTAATGTTTTAATTTCTATACATTTGTCCGTGTGGTTTCACTATCGGTAGTTGTTAGTTTAACCTTTTTAAATGCCGAGGGCTAAATAAACCGTTAATATTAAGGCACTTAGAAATCATTATACTTGCCGAGGGCTAAATAATCGATTAACCACCGAAGGCTAGTTAGAGAACAAATTCCCAAGTGAACCTTTAATCGGTAAGGCACTTAGAAACTAACCATTATACTTGCTGAGGGCTAAATCATGGATTAACTACCAAAGGCTAGTTAAAGAACAAACTCCCAAGTGAACTTTAATCGGTACTGGACTTAAGTGTTTTAATTGCCGAAGGCTAATGAAAATGCTTATAGGAGTAGTATACCATGATTGATGGTCTCTACTGTATCTTTTTAATTAAAGAAATAAATAAACACACCGAAGGTTGCGAATATATCTGCCGAAGGCTTTTTCACTAAATATTGCCGAAGGCAAAGATACATTCAGAGTTTGTTTTGCAATTAAAACCTGCTGTAGGCTAGGGAACTACTTGAAATAATACTTCAGATGTTCGACGTTCCAAGGATAACCGAGGGTCTTGCCATTGGAGTCTCTGAGGCGATAGATTCCGATCGGAGGATGCCGATGATCTCGTAAGGTCCTTCCCAGGAAGGTCTGAGGGTTCCTTCCATGGGGTTCTTAGTTGACAGCAAGACTTTTCGCAAAACCCATTCCCCGATTCGGAAAAAGTGGGATCTGACTCTTGAGTCATAGTACTGAGAGACGCGCTGTTTGTAAGCTTCGTTTCGAAGGTTGGCTTGCGCTCGACGTTCTTGGATTAGGTCGAGGCTTAATGCGAGTGCTTCCTCGTTCTCCTTTGGAGCAAAGGTTTCCGTTCGGTAGGAAAGCTTGTCGATCTCCACAGGGACTACCGCTTCCGAACCCAAGGCGAGAGAAAAAGGGGTTTCCCTGATTGCCATTCGATAAGATGTCCGAATGGCCCATAATGCTTCTGGAAGCTTCTCCGGCCAAACTCCTTTGGCTTTGTCAAGCTGCCGTTTCAGTAGCTTCTTGACGATTTAATTTATTGCTTCGACTTGACCATTCGACTGAGGGTGGGCTGGTGAAGCAAAGAACAGATTGATCTTGAGGCGAGTGCAAAACTACCTGAAGACTTCCGAATCAAACTGTCTGCCGTTGTCGGTGATGATTGCATAGGGCATACCGAATCGGCAACCAATGTGGGTCCAGATGAAGTCCTCCATTCTGGCTGCCATTATAGTTGCTAGAGCTTCAGCTTCTACCCATTTGGTGAAGTAATCCACGGCAACTACGGCGTATTTGACCTGGCCTTTGCCTTGCGGCATCGAACCGATCAAGTCCAGTCCCCATTGGGCAAAAGGCCATGGGCTTACGATCGGCGTTAAGGGTTCGGCAGGGATGTGAGGTACATTACCGAACTGTTGGCATTTGTCGCACTTCTTCACTAACGCATTTGCATCTTGGTGCAAAGTTGGCCAGTAATACCCTTGCCGAAAGGCCTTGTGTGCCAGCGTTCGGGACCCTGAATGGTCTCCGCAGACTCCGCTGTGGATTTCCCGAAAGACGTAGTCCCCCTTTTCGGTAGTAATGCATTTCAGATATGGTGTGGTATAGCCTCGCTTGTACAAGACGTCATTGATGAATGTGTATCTTGACGATCGATACCGTAGCTTCCGGGCTTGGAACTTATCGATGGGCATAGTTCCGGTCATCAAGAAAGCATAGATTGGAGAAATCCATGTGTCTTCGTACCGTACGGTACATACTTCAGCAGCTGCCGTGCTTGGCTGGGATAGTATCTCCACCGGCACCTTCCTTCCGACCTTGTCGTTTATTTCCGAAGCCAAACGTGAGAGTGCATTGGCGTGACTGTTTTCGAATCTGGGGATCTGCCGAATCTCGTAGGCCTGGAATTTTTGTAGGAGTTGGTGGGCTGCCGACAGGTAGGCTGACATAGAGGCATCCTTGGCTGCGAAGTCTGCCGTTATCTGATTCACTATGAGCTGGGAGTCACTGTAAATGCTGATTTGTTTTGCTCTCATGCTCTTGGCTAGCCGAAGGCTGGCCAAGAGCGCCTCATACTCTGCCTCGTTGTTGGAGGTTCTGAAGTTGAATCGAAGGGCATACTCGACCTTGGCTCCGTCTGGAGTAGTAAACACTAGAACAGCTCCACAACCTTGTTGAGTTGAAGAGCCATCGACATGCAGAATCCATACAGGAACAGAAGAATCAAGGCGTTCGGTATTCTGCATTTCTGGTTTTCCGGTATCAGCGTCTGAAATGGCAGGTTTTGGTGGTACCGTAGGTGTAAGCTCGAAAATGAAGTCGGCAACAGCTTGACCCTTCTCTGCAGGCCTGGGCTTGAATTATATGTCAAATTATCCGAGCTTAATCGCCATTTTACCAATCGGCCTGATGTTTTTGGCTTTTGGAGTATCTGCCGAAGGGGTTGATTGGTCAGAACCGTGATCTCGTGCGCTTGGAAGTATGGGCGGAGCCTTCGAGCTGAGACGATGAGGGCTAGAGCTAGCTGTTCCAAGGGGGGATACCGAAGCTTTACGCTCTGCAGCACCTTGCTGACATAGAAGATTGGTAGTTCTGCCTTCTCTGGCTTCCGTATCAACATTGAGCTAATGGCAGTGGTGGATATCGAAAGGTAGAGAAGGAGAACTTCTCCAGGAAGTGGTTTTGACAATAGCGGTGCCTGGCTCATGTAGTTCTTTAGGTCTTGAAATGCCTTGTCGCATTCGGCGGTCCAAGCAATATGGTGTTTGCCCCATTTCAAGGCTTTAAAGAATGGTACACATTTATCGGTAGCCTTGGAGATGAAGCGGGTTAAGGCAGCGACACGTCCGGTAAGGCTCTGAATGTCCTTTTGCGTTTTTGGCCTCTCCATGTCGATTATGGCCTTGATTTTCTCGGGATTTGCTTCGATCCCTCTCTGACTGATCATGAACCAAGAAACTTACCCGAAGACACATCGAAGGCGCACTTAGTTGGGTTTAGTCTGATTTGGTAATCCTTTAGTATACTGAACATAAGGGCCAAGTTTTCCAGATGCTCCCCTGCCGTTCAGCTTTTCACCAACAAATCGTCAACATACACCTCCATGATGCTGCCGATGTGTTTAGCGAAAATTCGGTTGACAAGCCTTTGATATATTGCCCCTGCGTTTTTCAAGCCGAACGGCATGACATTGTAACAGTACAATCCACGGTCAGTGATGAATGCCGTATGCTCGCTGTTGGCAGGGTGCATGAATATCTGGTTGTATCCTGAATAGGCGTCCATGAAGCTGAGCAGTTCATAACTGGCCATTGCATCAACGAGCTGGTCGATCCTAGGTAACGGGAAGCTATCCTTCGGACAGGCCTTGTTTAGGTCTGTGTAGTCTTGGCACATTACCGAGTTGGCAAGTCATACAAGGTACGTAGCTTCCCTGATAAAGCCGATGGCTTTTAGTTTGTCAACTTCGGTACGCATGGCCTCATACTGTTCGGCATCGTACGAACAACGCTTCTGCCTGACGGGCTGATGACGTCAGGAGATATGCCTGGCATGTCCTCGTAGGACCAGGCGAATACTTCTACGTGATGCAGTAGGAACTCGAGAAACTGTGCTCGGAGGTGGGGGCTAAGTGTGGTGCTGATCTTCACGCACCATTCGGGATGCTCTTTATTCAGCATTATTGTTTCCAGTTCTTTGGCAGGTTGCGCTTGTAGCGTTGGCATGTCCTTCCTTGGGTCGTCTATGGGCCCACTACCGTTCAGTACCCTTGCACAACCATTGCTTCCATCGGAGGTTTGCAAGCTACCGACTTCAGGGTCGTCACATAGCACGTCCGTGCGCTGAGTTGATCTCCTTGGACAGCACTAGTGCCGTTGCAGGTTGGGAATTTCATCAGCAACATGTGGGGGGACAGGTGCACTTTGATTCCGGTGAGTGTCGTCCGTCCTACGATGACGTTGTATGCCGTGGGGCAGTCGACAATGAGAAACTGGTCGTAGGTCATCGTTTTCCGAGGGGCAACGCTGAAGGCGATGGGCAAACTGACACTGCCGACTAGCTAGACCAGATCCCTGGAGAAACTAAGTAAAGGTGTTATCTGCCGATTGACCATGCTGTCGGCCATTCCCAATCCTCTGAAGGCATCAGAGAAAATCACATTTACCGAGCTTTCAGTGTCGATCAGTACCTTTCCGACATCGTAATCAGCGATCTCAGCTCTAATGATCATCAGGTTGTCATGGGGGTAAAGGATCCCTTCTTCCTCCTCTTCACAAAACGTGATGGGCTCTCATCCTACCTTTGGAACCTTGCGGTGCCGGTCGGCGTCTATGCCGAAGACTTGAGGGTAGTGCGCAGCCCGTACATACTGCTTTACCAATCAGTTAGATGGTCCGACCAGAGTGAGGCCTTCGATGATGGTGCTGATCACGTTTATCTACCGATTCGCATTCGGGACAGGCGCCTGCGGTGGTCTGGCGATGTACTGATCCAATTTCCCCTCCCGAATCAGTCGTTCGACGATCTTCCTCAAACTTATGCAGTCTTCGGTGTTATGGCTATTATGCTGGTGGTATCTGCAGAATTTACCGGAATCCAGATTATCCTGCCGATTGGGCTTTCAGTGATTCGGGTTCGGTATGATTTCTCGCTCGTTCATCAATACGGCTTCGTAGGTGGTATTCAGCAAGGTGAATACTTCCTGAGCGCGGTCTTGATTCGGTAGTGGCGCATGATGGTCATTACAACCGTATTTTCCGCATCCTTTCTTAGAGCCACCCTGTCGATTATCACGGTCGTCCTTTCGTTTATGTCATGCCGAGGGTTCATCAGTTCTCCTAGGGGCGTACGATGATCCTTGCCTTGGATAGCTATTCAAGGCTGGTTCCTCCTGCCGAGCCGAAGGTCTGGACTTTGAGTTGAAATATTCATGCCTAGGCGTGAATTGCGGCTTGCTTCATCAGTTCGTCATAGGTGTGCCAGTTGCTACTGTGCATGAGGTACTGAAAGTGTGAGGACCGAAGGCCACTCTTGAAGGCGCTGTAGGCTGCCCTATCGTCTGTTTTTGGACATCTCGAGTATTCGTGACTGAAGCGTGCAGCGTATTCTCGTAGGGGCTCGTCCTCTCTCTGCCGAATCGTGTACAGATCATCGACATAGTACAGACGGTCTGTCTAGATCATAAAGTGATTGAGGAAAATATGTTTTAGTTCATCGAAGGAGTCCACCGTTTCTGGTTCCAATCAGTAGAACTAATTCAATGCCGCCCTTGTAAGCGCGGAAGGAAATAGCAGGCATTGCCCTTCGTCACTGAGCCCCTTGCATCCTATTGCCGATTGGAAGGAGTGAAGATGTGTTAAGGGGTCTTCCACCCCTGTGTAGAACGGTATACGTAGAGGTTGTATGTCTCTATCCTGCCGTGAGCGCATGATACGTTCGGTAAATGGTCTTGGCCGAAGCTTTCCCCAGTCTGGTTCTTGAGAGCGAACTCGGTCGTTTTCCATCTTCTGGACTTTCTGGAAGAGAAGTCGGATGACGGGATCTCGACTCGGGATTTCCTCGGAACTGTAGTCTTCCAAACATTTTTGGGGGCTTACAGGCATGGCCTCCGAGTACCTCGTTGGCGTTGCCGAACGGTAGGTGGAGCTAGTCTTGGAAGGGACATACTCGGAATCTGACTCTCCGGTGGATCGTAAGCCCCGAGTCTTTCGAATTGGTGACTTATTTCCCAGGGCTTTTAGCCATGAGTCTCGGAGTTTTGCGTTGATGTTGATTGGAGATCTCTGCCGTCGACGATCTTCCTCAAACTTATGCAGTCTTCGGTGTTATGGCTATTATGCTGGTGGTATCTGCAGAATTTACCGGAATCCAGATTATCCTGCCGATTGGGCTTTCAGTGATTCGGGTTCGGTATGATTTCTCGCTCGTTCATCAATACGGCTTCGTAGGTGGTATTCAGCAAGGTGAATACTTCCTGAGCGCGGTCTTGATTCGGTAGTGGCGCATGATGGTCATTACAACCGTATTTTCCGCATCCTTTCTTAGAGCCACCCTGTCGATTATCACGGTCGTCCTTTCGTTTATGTCATGCCGAGGGTTCATCAGTTCTCCTAGGGGCGTACGATGATCCTTGCCTTGGATAGCTATTCAAGGCTGGTTCCTCCTGCCGAGCCGAAGGTCTGGACTTTGAGTTGAAATATTCATGCCTAGGCGTGAATTGCGGCTTGCTTCATCAGTTCGTCATAGGTGTGCCAGTTGCTACTGTGCATGAGGTACTGAAAGTGTGAGGACCGAAGGCCACTCTTGAAGGCGCTGTAGGCTGCCCTATCGTCTGTTTTTGGACATCTCGAGTATTCGTGACTGAAGCGTGCAGCGTATTCTCGTAGGGGCTCGTCCTCTCTCTGCCGAATCGTGTACAGATCATCGACATAGTACAGACGGTCTGTCTAGATCATAAAGTGATTGAGGAAAATATGTTTTAGTTCATCGAAGGAGTCCACCGTTTCTGGTTCCAATCAGTAGAACTAATTCAATGCCGCCCTTGTAAGCGCGGAAGGAAATAGCAGGCATTGCCCTTCGTCACTGAGCCCCTTGCATCCTATTGCCGATTGGAAGGAGTGAAGATGTGTTAAGGGGTCTTCCACCCCTGTGTAGAACGGTATACGTAGAGGTTGTATGTCTCTATCCTGCCGTGAGCGCATGATACGTTCGGTAAATGGTCTTGGCCGAAGCTTTCCCCAGTCTGGTTCTTGAGAGCGAACTCGGTCGTTTTCCATCTTCTGGACTTTCTGGAAGAGAAGTCGGATGACGGGATCTCGACTCGGGATTTCCTCGGAACTGTAGTCTTCCAAACATTTTTGGGGGCTTACAGGCATGGCCTCCGAGTACCTCGTTGGCGTTGCCGAACGGTAGGTGGAGCTAGTCTTGGAAGGGACATACTCGGAATCTGACTCTCCGGTGGATCGTAAGCCCCGAGTCTTTCGAATTGGTGACTTATTTCCCAGGGCTTTTAGCCATGAGTCTCGGAGTTTTGCGTTGATGTTGATTGGAGATCTCTGCCGTTCGGCCTCCTTGTCGTTGATCCGATGCCGGCAATCGACATAAACTTTCTTCGGTATGTGCGGCTGGTCCTGGGGTGCTGGAACTACCAACTGCTTGGAGGGCACAGGCGTTGCCTTTGCCCCTTTCTTACCTTTCTTGTGCCGACTAGAAGTCTGCAGGCTCTGGGACGATTGGGTTGTTTGAGTGGTTTGCATTTGCAGCTGACTGAGCAGTTGCTGGGTTTCGTCCACTTTGGACGAAAGAAAGTTGTTGTGTTCTTGCAACTTAATCAATTTAATTGAAGGAAGCAAGTCTCACGTTTGTCACGTCATCACTTAACAGATTCTTTAATAACTTTTCTAACCCCAGAACCACATTACAACAAATTAACAAACTTAAGGTACTTTATTGTTAAAATTGAGAGTGCATGAACAAAACACGCCTTAAGGGTGAGAGTTCAGAGTACTAAACTGAAATTAACCATTTTTAAAACAACTTGAAAACTGACAAACTAATTTCAGTTTTGTTGGGTTATAGTTTTGCTTAGTGTAAACTAAAAACTTGTTTGGTAACTAATTTGAATTTTGTTTTTAAAAAAAAGGGGGAAAAGTGAAAATTGAACAAAAATTGTTTGATAATTGATTTCAATTTTGAATTTTATGTGGAACCTGGAATGAAATTTTTTGGGGTCAAATTGTGAATTTTAGATCATAGAATGAAAGTGCATGTTACAAAGAGTTCGGAGTATTATTTGATGAATTATTTGGAATTAGGATATTTTTTTTTGTGAATTTTGGATATAGAGGTCCCAAGGCTTAGACTAGATCTGTGGCCAAACACAAGAATCGAGTTGTCGGATCCAAGTGGGTAGGTCCCAAAAACCGAACTTTGGTAACAAGAGTGCATTTTATGTGTGGTGATATAAAATTAATGAATAAAAAAGGACCTCAAGTAAATGAAATCAAAAACTGAAAACTGAAAATTGAAAATTAAAAACACTTTCAAGTAGTTTTTTAAAAAAGGGTGATTTTGAAAACTAGATTTCACTTTTTTGAAAACTGAAAACAAAATCTGTTACTAAACATGTTTTCAGTTTTCATTTAAAGAAAAATGAAAATGAAAACTAATTGAAAGTGAAATTGTTATCAAACAACCCCTAAAGAGATGCAAAATTAGGAAGCGGATTCTAGGTCCACATTTGTGAGCAAGTGTAGTGTGCATCAGGATTTTGTGGCTCTTGGCCTGGGCAAGTCATTGGCAAAATGGATCAAAACTATGCTCTTGTGAAAGAAATCGTCAAATGTTAGTATTCCTAAAGGAAGGACAATTGGTCCATAGATCAGTGGTAAGAGCAT